CTCTCTCTCAAATAAATAAATAAATAAATAAAATTTAAAAAAAAAAGAATTAAACTACATAAACTAAACTACATAAACCCTGAACACTCCTGCTGTTTAAAAAGGCAGATACTTTATTATTTCTTTTATTATTATTTTTAAAAATCTTTTTATTTATTTATTTATTGAATACAGGGCCTTGCTGTGCAGCTCAGACTTGTAGTGTTCCTCCTGACTGAGCCTCTCCAATGCTGGGATTGCAGGTGTGCACCACCACGCCTGGTTTCAGTGGCCAGCAGAATGCTCCTGGGGCTCCTGGGCCGGCACTGCATGTAGTATCAGGGATCCAACCCCAGTCCTTACGCTTGCCATGGAGGTGTTCAGGTCATCGAGCCATCTCCCCGGCCCAAGGCAGTCACTTTAAATCTGATCAAAGCATCTTTGGAGAGTAGTAGTTAAATTAAGCACAGTTCTAGGAGAAATTCCAAATTGAAAGTACAAATGGGTTATAAAGTTTAACACTTCCTAAGCATTGTATCATAGTAATAAATTTCTGTGTTTGATGGGCTTAGGTCATATTTTAAATAATTTTTGTAGAAGCAGTGACTTGCAGTCCTGACAGGCCATCTTCATCCCTGCTGGGGTTCTCAGATGTATCTTGGATGGTTGGTGTGCTCTTGTTCCTTATCATCATGGTTCACCCAGGAAGCAGCTTCATTTATTTCACATTCATGAATGACTAGAGCATTTTAAATTTCCATAACGTCTTTTCTCTTTTTAGAAATTATAATCAAAGTTACCGAGTAAGTTCCATTCTCTGCTCCATATCTAACTGGGACAAACATAATGTGCCAAATTATGGAGGTTCCTGAGCAAAAATGACATTTGCTTGCAGAGCAACTGCCTTTGTTAATAATTTGTTTTAAACTTTTTTTTTAAGCAAGGAAAGGAATACCATCTCTAGATTACCAGCATGTACAACAGAGCATTTTTGCAGGTTCTAGATTCCTGTGCTGGGGCTTAGGAAAAATCATACAAATGCAGTCACTCCTTTCAGATGCTTTGCAGTAAACTATTTTTCTTCCAGTAGGTATTCACTGCATGAATTCACTTCTTGTTTCTTTGCCCTATGTTGACTTTTAGGATTTCTAGGAGAGAGGAGCACTGAACATACGTGTTATGTAACATTAAAATATCACATAGATGAGAAAGTAAACATTTGTAGCACAATTACAACCTAGATCTTATCTTACAAATAGTTAGTGTTATTTTTTAAAATCTGAGCTTTTGAGAGGTGTTTGGAGCTTAAGTCTGCAGAAAACAGGGCAAATAAGGGTTAATTTCCCAGGTCACTCGAGTTTCTAATGAAACCCATCAGTACAAGGCCTTGTGGCCCCTATCTGAGACTTTGGTGGCCAGAGGTTGCCCCAGCGTCCATGAAGGCTGGTATTCTGGGAGAAAATGTGATTTAAACTACTGAACACCTTATAGATATCGTCTCCTTATTACAATATGTAAAGTTTCTAGGGATTATTGATTATCCAGTCTTTATAAATCAGCATTTCCCCTATGTTGGATCTTAGCTACTTAGGACTTTTTTTTTTCTCTAGTACCAGGCATCAAATTTAGGACCTTGTGCTTGCCAGGCAGGCGCTTATACTGCTGAGCTATCTCTCCAGCCCCTACTTAGAACTTTCAAAGAAAAGATGTCCTATTTATTCTTTCCCAGTGTTACTTACATTAATTTTAATGTAAGTATTTTATTAATTGGCTTACAGCTACATTTTTGAACTTTTTAAAAATAAAGTTTTTTTTAAAAGCAAAGACTAAAGTTTAACTGTGGGCAATATTTGAGGGTAAAATATTTTTCCTTTCCTCCCCCATCCTCATCTTTAGCAAAGAAGAAGACTACTTGTTCCTGTTGAGTAAGTCATGGGCACAGTACTGTTAATTGTTTAATAGGTAAATTAAGCCTGACTAGACTTTAATTATAGGGAAGAGTGTTGATGGGGATAATGTAATTGTCTGCTTCACTCCAGATTAGGACAGTGAGTTTGAGATGACAGTCCTTTTGTGCAGAAGTAGCATATGCTTTCACTTTTTAAATCTGGAGAAAAATGTAACCCAAATGTAGTAGCATAGATTATTTAAAGCAGAGGTGTTGCTTTTGTGTTTAATCTGACTAGGGCACTGGGGACTTTGGAGAGGCTTTCAGTTAGGGATTTTGGGTTAGATTTTTAGTATGGGGTGGATTAATTCAGAAAAGGAATATTCAACTTACATTTTTAAGACAAATATGCTCACTAGCAAGAGTACACACATACTGACATTTTGTCATATTTGCTTCAGGGCTTTTAATTAACAAAACAAATTTCAAGCTGAGCATGGTGGTGTGCACCTTTAATCCCAGTGCTCACGCAAGAGGATTGCTGTGAGTTCAAGACCAACCTGGGCTACAAAGTGAGCTCAAGG